CTCTCACCATGGCCGCGCAGCCCACACCCCGGATACTGCTTAATCCATTCCTCCTACGTAGGATCCGACCCCGCCATCAGCTTCGCCTCGCCTCAAAACCCCCAGATAGCAATTTGATTCGTTCAAATCGGTTGAGAAACGACCGAGATATGCAAAAATCTCCCTTGTTTCTCCTCCTCAACGCCCACGCACTCGGCGTCGTTTCCTGTCCACATTCATCTGCCCTCCAATCTCCTGCACTACCTTCTGCTCTGCATCGCTGCCTACGACTTAGTAGTAGCACACAGCCTCGCAGTCGTGCACTAGCTCTCCCCGTGGCTCCGCTGAGGGTGAGCGCCCCTCTCTCTCTCACTCTCTCTCCCGTATACTACCTCTCTCTTTCTTTCACCCCCGTCTCCTTCGACCGCACCTGGCACAACATGCTGGCCAGGTTCGGCCTTCTTCTCGCTGACCCACTCTGCCCCGCCGTGCTGTTCACCCGCTATTTGTGCAGGCATCCGGCATTGTTGTCCGACCGGGTTCACTCCCTCGGCCCCCTCCCCTTATTCCTCTGCGCTATTCCGCCCGTCGTCGCTAAGTCCGCCCATCGCTGCTAGTCCGCCCGTCACTCCACCATCCCGGCCATCACCTTCACCCGGCTCGATACTTACGAGCTAAGCCCCAACCTGGAGGTAACAGGCGCAGCCCTGCATATAAAGAGTATCTGCCACATGCCCAAGCCCTTACGAGTGTGCCAAGGCCACTGCTTGGCTCACCCCTCAACCTCAGGGCCCCGCAATGTCGCGTTCCGCTGCCTCGCGGCCAGGCGCAACTTGGCTCACCACGCGCGTCGCCCCTATATGCCATGGTCGCGGCCCGAGGCTCTCATAGCCTACCGCGGCCGGCCCTTTTACTGCTGCCTCGGCCGGAGGGACCCTGCCCGTTGGTGCCATCCTCTCATCAGGATAACGGCGGCCCCTACTGACGAGGCCTGGTCAACCCAGTGTCCGTGATAGTTTCACACGGCGCCGCCCAGAGTGTCGGCCTCTAACAATTCAGGCACTATGCCCCCTCCAATCAAAGTCTTACTTGGTCAACTCTACGCCGCCCGGAACTTCGTCCGAGCGTGCGTGGCCACACCTACCCCCACATCCTAGCCTAATGCCCACTTATTCCACTGGCGTCTCATAGACTTCCTCGGTCAAGGTACGGTCAAGCTAGTGCGTGCCCATAAGGTGCACGCTCACACACTCCCTAATCAACACAACTGGGACACGCCCCTAGATGCCACCAGAGGCATTCTTCCTGCGAGCTGTGAAAACGTGCCCAAATACCCTTGTAAGGGTATTCGGGCCGACACCGGTTAATGCAAAGCCCGAGCATTTTGGCAGTAGTTGTGCCTCCCTTTTCATCGTCCCCCACCCTCAACCAAATAACAGCAGTGCCTAAGGCCAACACTCTCCCACACACCATACACGACTCACTCATATTCACACTTACATTCGTGTTCGCCAAGGACCCTGCTAATACCGATTAGTCCACGTCTTTTTTAATTAAAAAAAAGGGCGATGGCCTTGAGATATCATCATCCAGTTGACCGGCCCCAGGTAATTGAGAATTATTTCCTTGCATACATCTAGGTCCATCAGGATTTGAACTTGGGTCTGCATTTCAACAGCTCAAGAGTATACCAACCGGACTCATTTGTTCCTCCTGAGGCTCCTCTTTTCCCCCTACGCCACCACGTGTAAGGCTTACAAGCAATGGCAGCTAGGTAATGAGTTGATTGAGAGAAAAATAAAAAACCAAAAATTCATTCTCTGGAAAAAAAGAAGACCATAGTGAGCTATCCCTATATGTTCCCTCTTTGCCGATGATCTCACCCTCATGGTGGAGGCCTCAGCCGAAAGCATGGAGGAAGTTCGCCGACTGATGGACCGGTTCTGTGATCTATCAGATATGAGAGTTAACTGGGGGAATAAAACGGAAGGTTGGTGGATACACTACCAAGGGGCCAGGCCGCCAGAATCCCCGCGGATTCGATGGCTGCCAAAGGAAGCCCTGATCAGGGTGTTAGGAGTCAAGCTATCGGCAGAAGGACGACCACCCGTGAACGATGAATGGCTGATACAACCGGTCCTTGGAAAACTAAACAGTTGGAAGGATAGCAAAACCTCGTTGATGGGCCGAGCTCTGGTAATCAATAATGTAGCACTAGTCTCATTATGGTATAAAACAACACTCTGGTCACTCAACAAACCGGCGATGACCACCCTCCAACGACAGGTGGCGACATTCCTGTGGAGGGGGAACCACGAGTGTCCTAACGTCATTAGCAGAGCGGCGTGGCATACGGTGATCCAACCAAAAATCAAAGGTGGACTGGGGATCATAGACCCATCTACCCAGATGATGGCCCTAGCCTTGCAGTGGGTAAAATACCTGCTCTTTGATCCACAGACCCCATGAAAAGCATTAGCTTTGCAACAAATAACCAGGCTGGCCCTGGTGGCCCCCCAAGACATTGACCCGATGACCTGGCGAGAAGACCGGTACTCGCCTGTTCTTAGATCGTCACCATTGAGAGAGGATGAACCCGATACGAACAGGCAAGCAACTAGGAGGGATCTGCAAAATGATGCCTTCTGGACCTCACTTATAAAAATATGGAGGAAACTCCCCCCCCCCCCCCGGATAAAACACCACCATGGTGTTGGGAGGAAGACTCAGGAAGTATATAGACAACCCCTCTTTGGCAACCGGTGGATAACATACTCTAACATTATGGTGCTACGGTGTACGGACCCCCCCTGGAAAGGATGGACCAGATATGGTATCTTAAGAGTAGGGGATATATGAGATCAGGAGCAGAGAACCTAAGTTGAGAGAAACACTGAGATACTGTCACAAGGTAGGGGAGTCTTTGGAGACAATTGTCTTTGCAGACCCCCTAGATTGGGTTCGCATCCTTAAAAAGGGACCGACACTGGAAGAGGGTGACCGGGTGGGCATAAAGGACCAGGAGGGAGTAGTTGGAAATATAATAACACCTCAAACGATAGGCTTACAAGAACGAAAGGTGACAAGGTGCAATGGCATAAAAAACCAAAGTTATTCCAAATCCGAGTCTTAAAAGAAAGAGACGGATGGCTGGCATACAAACCGGCCACACCAATCTCCCACCAGGTCCTTGGTTTTGATCCAGAAAACTGAACCTGGACACTAACCATACGTAACGGAAAACAAAGGCAGTGACAACTGCACACACAGTCGGTCAAGTCGGCTTATCGGTTGTTGCGCCCCAAAAGGATGTAGTGGAGAACAGGTGGATGTGGTACCTAAATGTGGGGAAAGAGGCCTTCGCTCAGTAAAATGGTTTAGGCTGAGCAAGGCCTCCCCAGCGAAAGTGGCATCACTACAATGGCGAATTGAACACCGTTGTCTGCCCACAAACGATTGGCTGATTGATAGGACAACCTTGGACCAACGAGGGCTTGCTCTGCCATGGTGTAAACTTTGTTCATCGACCCTCCCGTCACGATGTCGACTCGAAACAGTCGAACATATCTTCCTACAATGCGCGGGGTCGGTATGGCTATGGAGATGGTGGGAAAGGGTATGGAGACAGATGGGCACCACGACACCCTCAGGCTGGTCGTGAGATTGGAAGGCACTGTTGTGTGAAACATGGCACCCGGAACAGGCTGCAACCTTGGAGGAGAATATGTTTAAAATAGGAAGGTGGGCAGTGCTTTGGGCGCTATGGAGGAGACGCTGCGTTTATGAAATGGAGGAAGTAAGACTGGATGGCCAAATCTTGCAAGAGGAAATCAGGCTGCATGTGCAAGCCGAAATTACTATTCAATGGGAAAAAGCGAAAGAAACACTAATAACTTTACATATTAAAGCAGAAATCAAGAAATATATTCAACAATTCAGCAAGGACTGGCTGGGGGGGACCCAGTCTGAGGGGAATCCTATTGCGAATATCCGATGGGAGGGGGGAAGGGAAGGGGAGGGGGGGGAGAAATTGTGGGACAAAATGATAGGAACTACCATCTTCTTTTTCAAGAGTGGACAAATGCTCACCCAGACATCCCGTG